CGTAATGCTGGAGTACAGGTACCTCATCTATTTTGGATCCTCTCGGACCCCCGAAAACCTAGTCTGGCCCCCCCCAAAAAAAAATCCTGGGAACGCTCCTGATTGTCTGGATTGACAAGTACCGGAACGGTGATCGTGTATTGCGCCTGTCCCGTCGATTTGGCGAACTGCTGTCGACTCATCATCATGTTCTGCAAGGCTTGCATCTGCACCGGCGTTATTGTACCGTTGTCTGTAGAGAAAGAATGCCATGAGATTCCCCCGAGAATGGCTCGCCCGCTCTCGACAGTGGAAATTCCGAGCTACAACGAGACTTACTCGATTGCAGTATTTGGGCCGTGATCTCCGGTGGCAGCGTTATTGCGCCAGGTTGATTCGTCGGAGCGGGTACCCGTAGAGCAACAGGTGTATTGCCAGAATGGCCGCCAATTGAACTTGCAGCTGTGCCCGGATAGTGAACCATAGGTTGGCTCTGTTGAATCACCTGCGGTAAGGGAGGCAATGTACGGCGAGCATACGGACCGGGCAATACATCTCGCCCTGACTGATGTTCGATTCGGACGTCCAGAATCGGTGAATCATATCAAGAACACCTTGAACATGATCCCGCTCTTCGTCGGAACTCGCCCACCCCATGCATATGGGGTTTTCCTGCGAGGCTCGCGGTGAACTACCATGAAGTTTTCTCAGATTTTAACCTCTTCTCGAGCTCGAGGAATGTTACTCTGGACGCCGCCGGAAACGCCTATCAGCAAAGTCTGGCGTTCGTCGTGGAATTGCATTTAAAACGAGCGCAAACGGAATCAAATCTTCGAATCGTAAGATAAGACATTACACAAGAACGGAAAAAGTCAATGAAAGATGATGAATCTTGCTCCAGCGGAAAATCAAGTAACAACGATGGGCTAGGGGCTCGACATGGATGGTTAAACCGAGGAAAATGAGAACTTAAACTTACTCGAACTTGCGGATAATTGTATTGCTCATTCGGTGTCGACCCAGACCTCTGGATCGTTATTCCGGGAGGAACATTCGAGTCTGCCTTGTTGGAGTTCACCTGTGTCAATCATTTTTTGAATTCTTTCCTGCGCAAGAGCTATAGGCGAAGCCAGAGAGCGGAACGGAAGGAGGTTTGGTACGGGAGATCACCGAAATCGTTGAGCTATCGTTCACAGTCGGGAGCTTCTGTTCCCGCGGATTATTATCAGTGCTTTATATGTAGTTGTACTCACTTTCACTAGAGGTGCAGGCGGTTCTTGAGGCTCGATCGCTTTCGAGTCAGCCAGCTTCTTCTCCCACAACTGTTTGAGCTCCATGAGTACCTGCTCATCGGCGTTCTCGTCCAGGAACGCGTCTTTCACTCCTGAATTGAATGAACGGGAGAAATTACTTCATCCGAAAGCGATCTTCAATCTGATTATGCTCTCCTGGAGCTTCCTGTATTTTACAAATGTCCCCGGAGTCCGTATTGTGAGCTTCTAGAGGAGCTTTTCCTGAGGATAATAGTTTCGCAGCACCGCGCCGTCCCCCCGAGTCCTCCGTCACGCTTTTCGAGCGGAAATCGTCACTCCTTCCTCGGGATGGAAATTCTGATCCTTCTCTCCATCAGGAAGCGTGCGCAGACGGATCAGGATACCGATACGACGCAATGCTCCCCTTCATGGGATCCTCCGGAGATACGCATTGACCTACCGGCTCGCAAAGCGCGCCGAGATTTAGGCAGTACCCCTCCCGTTCAATCGCAGGCTCCGACCAGTTTCCCAAAACAGACCATAACCTAGTCGGTCCTCGACCACGATACATCAGGCGAATATCTAATACCGATAGATGTAAACAAGATTGGGGTTGGACGGGTATCGACGGCGGGAATTACTCGTTTGGAGCTCTCACATTCAAGGGCCATGGGATAGATCACGACGGACTCCCTCCACCGAGGACCTCGGTGATGCTCGCTTGAAATCTCACCTGTTATCACATCGTCGATGACGCTCTTGTAGATTCGGCCCACCGTAACGGATGACATGATCTCACAGGTCTTCTGAGTCGGTCTCGAGGAACAAGTAGGAGTGATAAATATGTCCGGCCCCACTTTATATCACTCCAATGAGGTCGGAATTCCACTCTCACTGTATCCTCAACTGTGCCGGATTATCTGTGAACGCAATTTACGGTCTCTCGATGTCACGTTTGAACCTCGATTTCTAGCTCAAACACTCCGTTGCTGCCCCGGTGGCTTCGTCTCCAGCTTCAATGGATGTGGGTGCCTGGTGCTGCCTGTTGTGTGCTGATGTGACCGGAGTAGTTGTTTTTGTTCCGACAGCTCACAAGGTGCAGTGGTTGTTCTCGGGTGGGCACCTATCGCAACGGCAGCCTCGCAGGGTGGAACTTCCGTATACGATCCCGAGACGTGAGGTGTTCTCGAAGGACGCCGAGCCAACGTTTTTCGTCTTGATCGGCAAATGTGTGTATCGCTGCTTGGTGTGGTGTTGATGGCCGGGGTAAACTCTGCGCCGCCCGCCGCTATAGCGACTTGAGGGTGGTGCGTGCGAGGTGGTTGTTGGTGCTGGGTGATTCGGTTTGTACGCTTGTACGCTCTGTACAGCGTATTTTTGTATGCTTGTACGTATGTTGAGTCTATGAGAAATGCGTACCATAAAAACGCGGGGAAAAATCGCAAGAAAACGGAATCTGTCGATGAGAGAGTGAAAACGATGATGCTGATGATCCGTGCTGAGAATTTGAGCATGGCCGGGCGGTCCCTCCCTCTGGATTTTGATCATTTCCTCACGTCGTGATTCGTGATCGTCCGAAATCACACGGTGATCTATCGAAATCACACGGTGATGTCACAGGATCACACCGGTATCTTACAGGGTCGCACATGTGGTTCGAGTTCCGTAATTGAGGTTTGTGATTGGTTCGCTGTTCGCTATCGTGAGTTCGTGTTTGCGTTTTGTTCAACGAGTGATTTGTTTTTCTCCCGAATATGCATCTCCACCTGCGTGGAGCTTGACTGTGGGAATCCTGAGAACTACGGGGACAAGTTCGGAAATTTTGAGCCATGACTGCCCTCCCTTTCCCTCGATTGCTCCCTTCCGAACTTCCCTCTGAGAATCGTCGGGTGACCTCGTCACCCCTTCGCGAGCCGCTCCGCCAAAAAAATGGAAGTTCTATTTCAAGTCCATGAGGTTTCGGTGAGATCCTATGAGATCACGGTGAGATCCTACGAGATCGCGCTGTGATCCTGAGGCATTGTGGTAAGGTGTGAGATTTCGATGAAACCGGAGCCTCAACGTCAGGTTCCACATAAATCTATCTTGAAGTTCCGCGCCGAATGGCTAAGGGCTCGTGATTTGTCGCGGCTTCGTGGAAGTATTCCTCGAAACACATATCTCATTCCCTTTCGGGATCCCGGAGAATTCTCGAGAGCCGAAAATATCGGAGATAATTCAAGAGAGCTGCGACAGTCGCGAACTGTGCACCCTTCAGCCGGACAGAAAATCAGTTGGAGTGGAAAGTGGAAGTTGAGAAAAAAAAGGACGTCCCATCAAGCTTACTCGTCATCCAAGGAGAAGCGAGGCAAATCCATCAGCTACTTCTCGAAGAGAGTGACCGATCAGAGTCTTTTCCGTCTCCGTCCTCAGAACTCAATGCGAGCAATAATTGTGTGAGGAGCAAGAACGTGCAGAAGAAGCTGATAGAGAGAGGGTGTTTTCGGGACAGCAGCAGATGGAGTTTTTGGGTTTTCGGGGCATTGGGTTTTCGAGGCATTGGGTTTTCGGGGTATTGAGTTTTCGGGGCAACGATTGGGTTTTTCAGTCATCCTCACCCGAATTTCGTTTGCATTCATGAATAAAAAAACTGACGCATTCCTACGTGTCTCTTTCTTCAGACAGAACTGAACAGGCAGGGCACCCGCATTTTTTTTCTCTTCGAAGCGCCAGGAGAACAACGGCGTGATCCATGAAGGTTTCGTGATTGATAATTCCTCCGACAAACGTTGAATCTATGCAGGTATTGTGACGCGTCGTTGAAAGCTTTTTATAAAGATGGAATTGGCTTAATGGCAGAATTCCGAAGTGTGTGTATGAGCGGATTCCTCTGTCCCGTTTCTCTGAACGGATTGACTAATGGCAGTGGCGGTCTGTGATGCTCGTCTGAGTGAGTAGGATCTCCCGATTGGTTGGCGGCGGTTAGTGGTATCGATTTCCGTCACACTACTTCCCTTGCATTTGTTTACTCAGGGCAGTGCGAGCCAGGACGCAGTCCTACGTCAAAAGCCCCTGTCTTACACTCCGGGAGACCTGGTAGGTACCTGCTTCGATCGTCCGTCGTGAACACAGCTCGATTGTTGATCGTTATGAGGAGAGCACCTCGCGGACACACGTTGGAAGCATGGGGGCGCCGGTAGGGGAGGGCAAGCTGCTCCCGCATAGTGTAGTGGACGATTTCTGAAATCGGATGCTGAGAAGGGTACGCTAGTGCACGGCAAATGTTTTACCTTCTGTCAATGTTGTGTCGGCAGTCGTAAATCTGCTTTGAGCTCCTATACCATCCCGCAAACTAATTCGAAGCATTTTCCAATCCATTTTCAGTTTCCTTTCTTTGCAGTGTCGCAGTACATTAAAAGTATCGATGTCTTGACTTTGATATATGACTCACTGAAGACCTCTGACGCCTGAATCAACGGCGCTTGACGAAAAATAATCAAAAAAATACGGAACACCATTGAGGTGCCAGAAAACTGTGTGTTCAATTGTTTTCCATTCTCAATAAGGTCGAACAAAACCATTCTTGCGTCAACCCGGTCGCCGCTATTACGATTAAAGGCAGGGGATCGAAGCGAAGCTGGGTCCTGCGCAGAGCCAAATTACGCATTGAAAATGGGCGGCGCGCATCAGTCTCGCGGTCTTTGCGCCCGCAACGCTCAGGCAATTGGATGGAGTCCAATTGTGAGCCCCGGAGCCTCCCCAGGATCGAGCCACGTACCGACGTGCTGAGTCCACTCATCCGCGTGGAAGGCAGAGGGACCTAGGCCTTAAGAGAGGCCGAATCCTTCAAACCCTTCCCGTCCCGGCTGAGGGGGCTGTAGCTGAGTCATCACGTTTTGGTCCCACGGAGTGCTCCGAAGAGATTGCACGGAGTCTAGCGTGGGCCGTGCCCGACTTCAGAATACACGGTACTAGTCAGGGCTCTAAAATGAGGCAGGACTCCTGCGCCGGTTTCTAGTATGTTTAGAAGGCTTCTACCGATATTCCTTGACTTCCGACGTCTTCATCTTTGACAATAAGCGATGGACTTTCACTAAGTCGAACTCCGAGTCAGGGAGCTTAGAAGAACGATTTCTCCTGGGCGATTCGGGCATCGGGGACGAGGACCGTATCTTGACATTCGGCCGAGAAACAGCGTCTGGCTGGGTCGGCTATGTGCGGAGACTCTACGAGGACGGGACTTACCCTTTAATCCCGGAGAAGTTCGCGCTCTGCGACGCTCTCCTACCGAACAAATCGAAGAAATCGTACCATCAAGGATCTCATCAAGGAAGCTTCGATCGAGATGGATTTTGAGATAGCTGACATCAACGCTTCGCAACTCTCCCAAAGGCCCGAACTCAAGGTTGTTGCACCAACAATTTCATTGAGGCTGCTCATCGGAAACACCAGGGGGCTCTCAGTGCGTGCCATCTTTCCATCTGGAAGTTCACCCACGGTCTCCGGCATGTGCAGCTCGAGGCAGAAGCCGAGCTTGAGCGATACAGTATAGGTTCTGCGCCGGCACCCAAAAGAATACCTGAATACGGTCGCGAACTGACTCGAGCTGGTCCGTTCCGTCGAGAGTCGAGAACCGGTTGTTTTTCTACGAGGGATCGCAAACAACTTCCTCATGGAGAACTAGAAACATCTCGAGTCTTCACATCAATAAAATCCTTGTTTGTGAAAAATAAAAAATAATAAGATGGACTAAAATTCACGGGCGTCTCCTTGGAGACCTTACTCCCCTCCTAAATCTAGAATCACATCCTCAACACGATAAAACACCGATAAGAGAAAATCGATAAAATACCGTCAGATGGCCTTGCGGAGGGAAAGGAAATTCCGTCGAGGGGACTCTGGACTCGCAGCATGTCGAAGGCGGATACGCCACCGAGGGAAAAATCTCCTCAGGATCGCCGCTTATTGATATGCTTCGGCTGATGAGAGGGGGAAACATCACCTCACAAAATGAAATATTCGGTCAAAAGTTGTTTGTACACCCTTAGCGCCAACACCCTGCTCCCCCGGCGCACACCCGGCGCTCCTCTGTAAAGGTTTCGAAATCGAGAATCCGCACCATCGTTCAAGGGATGTTGGGGTCCTGGTTGGAGTTCCGTGCACTACGAATTTCTCCTTCGACGCCTGCGGGAGCAGATCAAGTCCGGCGGCGTCATTATTGCGGTACCGAGTGCCTTGCGCGCTATGCTCTGACGGTCCCTCACGCACGACCGTATTGTCCATCATTCCCTCGGATCACGGAGAAGGGCAGAGGAAGAAGAGAGACAAGCTCTAGGGACCAGGGGGCTCTTCTCCGCCTATACAAACCGTGATTCCTCGAATATGGGTCAACAGCTTCTTGTTCCCATCTTCAGAAAGTCCAAAAAAGATCTGGGGGTAAGCTTTATTCATTGGACGGAATATTGCTTCACGAGATGAGACTCCGAGCGAAGTCTCCGCTCAATAAGTTCGTCATCGCAACAACATCATCCTCCTCTACTGAGTTTCCACAAGAGTCTAGTGCTTCAAGACGTGCCTCGAGATGTCGCGTTTCGATCTCTCTACTTATTTCACTTCGAGTCGCTTATGCTTTCCGACTCAGGTGTTCCCGAATGCACAAGAACTATTAAGATCAGCTGCGCGGAGAGCATTCGAAACAACATTTAAATGAACGATCAGGCATAAATGATCCCTTCCGATATTTTTCCCAAGAGTTCGTGACCTAGGCGCTACTCCGGCCCAAGCAAGCTTCAGGGAATCCGCTCGTCTTGTTGTAAGCGAATTCTGTCATGCTGATGATTGACTTCGGGTGGACGGTAGTCTTTGAGGGAATCGTTGACCGCCAGATCGAGACTTATCGTAAGCAGATACCTGGTCATGCCCACGGTACTCATGATTTTATCAAATACGCATGTATGGTATGTATGGTGTACATATGTGCATCGACGAAGCTCGCGTTTCATCGATGTTTACGCTTCCTAAGCGGCACGATACCGGGAATGCTTCCATCGGAACCCCGTATCGAGCACGTTCCTTCGGCACAAGAG